CACAAATCCCTTGCGCATCTTGCACACCCCATCGTCTCCTTACATCAAGCCTCAGTATAAGGTTGTTTCAATTCTTGAGGCAGATGTCTATTCTATCCTAAAATTATTATCAGGTGTCTGGCCTAATGCTCAACAACAACACTAGCATTGCCCCTTTGTTTGAGCGTATCCTTCAGCAATTTGCTCGTCTTAGAAGCAAAAATGCCTTTATAGACAGATTTCAAAAAGAGGTTTGCATATACTCAATCTCAATCTATCTGTTGTTCAGCTTATTTTCGTTTAAGGAGGGCTTTAGCGTCGATATGATGGATAGTTCTGCCGAAAGAGTGCAGGAATTGATAGATTTATATGGAGAAGCAGAAAAACCAGATTTTCTTGGATGATTTCGTTATTGCTACAATGGGTTATGTTTCACTGCTCATCATCACAATGCTCCAGTGTTTTGTTTATGTGTCTATATATCTCTCATCAATGACTTCTTATCCCGGTAATTTTTTAAAATTTTTGTATAGAAATGTGTCGATCGCAATATTCGTCTCATCTTCAGACTATTCATTTTTTCTTCTTTGAATGCAGATGTTTTTCTCGATCTCATTGTTTATTTCATTAATCTCGATAAACATCATTCGTTGATTATGTAGCGGCATCTATGGTTAGCTCCACTTGCAACGTTACCTTTTAGTCATAAGCTTGTAGAATTATAGCTTCTATATACTTTGCATTTTTGGTTTAGCTAAGGTTATCGAGTATCAAGTAGTTTTGCATATAACGTTTTGGCAGTTTTGTTCAAAGTTTTGTCACTGTTTTTTTTGCACCTTTTCAATGTAGTTGCCATCAAGCCCTATCGACTTTCCGACTGATAAGCTATCTCGTTTTATTGCGGTGTTTGATTGGATTCTTTAGCAGGTATGCTTGATTCATCGCTTTTGGATTCCTGCTCAACCTTTACTTCATCGTTTAAATTCCTGATGTTTATACCTGTCCTTATCATTTCCCATTCGAAATATTTTGCATATCAAAAAATGACCCACTCAACGGTACGTGGTGCGCGTCCCGGTGGCATGTTTGCCTTTTGTTGATGAGATGCAGCTTATCTCAAATGTTCGCCTTCACACTTCTTCGACCATGTGCCAGTCTAAAAGTCTTAGTTAAGAAACAATGATGTGCACTACATGATTCGACATACAATCAAGGAGTTAGTAACTTTGCGCCTAAACTTCTGTAGTCGAAATAGATACTGTTGCTTTGCGCGCAAGTCCGTAAAACATCTAGACTATTTATTCACGATTTCCTAAAGGTGGGCGATGTTTAAAAACTAGTTTTGTGTAAATCCATAACGTTCTAAGAATAACATGGAACCCTAGGCTTCATGATGGATGATTACAAAAGGGCACCAATCGTATGTAGAGCACAAGTTAAAGATCATATCCATGTTGTTTTCACACGAAACTAACCCAGAACTCCAAGTTTCTTTTTACTCTAGAATTAATGCACATTGTGCCGTAATATATGCGGTAGTTGAAGAAGGGTCAAAATTTGATAGAGCTTCTATAGTACTAGCAAATGACTACAAAAGGGATTAGCTACCACCAATCAGATAACTTGTGACAATCAATGAGTATACATCTGTTTTCCATGAGGAAACACCAACACGGAAAGCAATGTTTGCCATGAATGGTTTTGAACTTTTTGCTGATCCTGGAAAGAATTTTGAAGCGTGCTAATCTATAGGCAGCTTTGGAACAGCTGTCACTTCGCTGGCTTTGCTACAATTATGAAATTAACAACAAATGTTTTCAGAATGAAGGCGCTTACAAGTCCATAAATCCAAATATTAGCATTTGCTAGTTTCTTCCTTTTTTTTCTTAAAGCAAAATGTGACGCCTGCCACGTTTAACTG